CACAGAAATACGAAAAATAATCGATCGTGCAACCACTTCGATAGAGTCAAGTAATTTGCTAATTTAATCGCTCGATGGATATTTCTAATTCCTTCCAATCACTTGCGATAAACCCATCATCAAACTCAAAGAAGTATCATTGATCGACAACGGTTCGATGGAAACGCTCGTTCGATCGCGTTTCGGCCGCCTTCTTCCAGCCAATATCCCCGCACGGCTAAGAGCATTACGCCCTCATAAATCAGGCTCGATTCGATCCGGTATAAATCATAATCGTGTCGTCGGCACACATCTCCTCCTCGTGAGAAAGATCCTCCTCTCTCTCTCTCGCGAGATGTGCCGTTAACTGCTTCTCATCTCCGACACGCGTTTCTCTCCATCTCAACTTCTCGTTTCCGCTTCGTCCAACCGGATCTCGCGCAACGATCGAACCAATTTTTACCAAAAATTTCCAATCGAAAGATCGAAGGGGAAGCTTAACTCAAAACTTTTCTTTTTTGTTATTTATCTGTTGGAAAAGTGTTTTCGATTGGCAGAAAGAAGAAAGGTTGCCGGCTTTCTTACTACTACTACTACTACTACTTCTTCTTCTTCTTCTTCTTTTTAGGCTTCTTTTTGACCAAAGTCGGGTCTATCAAGGGGGGCCGGGGCAGTTTGGGCGGCGGGCTTCCGAGGGCTAGGCGAGGCGCCACTGGAGAGATGGCGGCCACGTCGGCCATCATGTTCCCGGCCGGCCCCCTGTCGAACAAATCCTCCCTCACCGTGTTCTCCACGCTCGCCGCCGTTAACCCCCCGTCCACCCCCCCGCCCATCCTCGACACCTGGCACCTGAACTCAGGCCCCTCAGCCACGTTCTTGAACACGAAGCACTTGGGCGCGAGCACGTACGGCGTCACCAGGGCCCTGCGAAACGTATTTCCGTCCATTCCCATTTTTTTTTTTTTTTCTCGAAAAAAATACCTTCCCAAATTTCTAACCGTGATGTCGAGCTCCAGTTGGCCGGCGAAGTTCTTCCCGGGATCCAACAATTCGAACGGGCCCCTGAACACGTACGGGGTCGGATCTTTGATGGGGACCTTGCCCTGAAAATGATGAAACGATATGATCGATTGGGAAGGATCATCAATTTGTATCGTGCCTCGAATGCAGCCTCGAGGTGGAACAAGGGAGTTTGACGGTGATTCGAACGGTGACGATATTTATTTATGTTTGATTTTTTTTTAAAAAAATCTTGGAGAGCGTAGAATAACGTATTATCGAACGGTTAGATTCTTTTCATCGATTAGGTGGAGGATCGAATTACGTTTTCGGCGTAAGTTCGAGTGGCGGCTAGAGAAATATTATTTTCAATTATTTTCCGAGGTTTGTAAGCGTGACATACGTTGAGAAATTGAGGATCGAGAGAGAAGGAAAAGACGTGGTACGAATGATGGATGGAAAATAGGAATAGTGAATGCGAGAACAAGTTATTGGGATATTGGTCCAACGTGAGTTTGATTTGATATTGTGAATGACGAAATTATTTCTATTTATTAAGAAAATGAGAACGAGAGAAGGAAAAGATGTGGTACAAGAGGATGGAAAATAAGAATAGTAGACGGTATGCGAATGCGAGAGCACGTTATCGGGATTGTATTTTGCCCTGAAAAGCAGGATTTTGTCTCTTGATAATTAGCTTTATTGCTAATGTATCAGACAATAATATAGATTTTTAACATTCAATAAATTATCTTTCTTTATACGTAAAGATAGATAAAAATATTAAAATATAAAAGTTTTATATATTGATTTGTACGTGGAATCATTATCTAAGAAAAAATTCACAAGTGCAAACAATTAACCGTCTCGCTACTCGCTCCGCACAAGATGCCGCGAGTATTGTATATATAAACGATACGACGATTGGAGTTATTGCACATCGAATATTTTTCTTTGTAGCGCCAATTCTTTTTCAATAAATACCGTCGAAGCAACGATCTTTCTCCGTGCACATTTTTGCTGTTTCGGGAGTGAAAAAGTCGCCCAAAAGTCGCGAAAGCGTTAGCAATCAAGAGGGAACAAGAATTTCTGGAATGGAATCATATTATACGTATAATAATCGAATACGGAATGACGAGTATATGTCCTCGTGTATTGAAATTGATCGAAAAGGAGGAGTTTTTGTCGTTTCTTGCGGATGAAACGGAGAGGAACGAATATATATATATATGCGGAAGGAAGTT